AGAGAGAGAGAGAGAGAGAGAGAGAGAGAGAGATAGAGAGAGAGAGGGAGAGAGAGAGAGAGAGAAGGTACGAGAAAAAGGCAGTCCCAGAAGTAATTTTCGCTGTTCTGCTGTAAATTCAGCAAATTTATTCTCTTACCGATGTGACATTTTGTATAAACCTACAGAGACTCGTCTTCTTCGCAACGTAACAACCGTTGATCCAAATGCACGTTTTCGTTCGATGTTGCCAATAGTCAAACTAAGTGACGCTTTCTGCTATCTGATCTATCTATCTATCTATTTTTCTATCTATCTATCTATCTATCTGTCTGTCTGTATGTCATTCTGAGTCTGTCTGTCTGTCTGTCTGTCACACACACACACACACACACACACACACACACACACACACACACACACACACACAAGCGCACACACACACCTCCCAAACGATAAAAAGTTTCTCGATGAGGAAGTACCTCAAGGAAGTAAATCATTAACAATCAATGGCCGTGACGTCATTAAGCCATCACGTGACCAGCAACTCACCCTGTCAACAACGTAGCTGGGGTCACAAGGGTACTCATCATCAGGAACAACAACTCTCCACCAAACACAAATGCGACAAACATCATACTTTTGTTTTCGTTGTTGTTGTTATTGTTGATGATATGATGGTGATGATGATGATGATGATGATGATGATGATGATGATGATATCTGGCGACGTGATGCAGATTGGTGGACACTTGCTGGGTCTACTTCAAAGGAGAAATCTCCCCGACTTTTAAGACGTACGCGTGGTGTACAATCACTATCACATTCACAAATTGAACTTCATAAGCCATACGTTGAATATATATCCACAACAAACTCAAGCATATTTTCCTTTTTTATGCGAAAGCCAAACTTTTAAAAAGAAATCACAACGGCGTATCATTAACATTTTTAAGATAAAGAAATCATAATGTCTAAAAGTAAAAGTAAAAGAATCTGTGTCTACTTTTTGAATAAGACAACAGTAGTTTATCACGATCAACGAAGTCCGCTTCATGAAATTCTGGAAACATCTCTCGCGGAATAATTGATTCTTTAATGACTATTGAAGATAGGGTCAACGGAAAATGAGCTTGGCCAACAGACTGTCCAAAGCCAAAGGGTTGGCGAACAGAAGCGTCTATTACGCCATTGAAATAGCAGGTCGACTTGTTTCATCTTTATCTGTGTTTCTTTCTTTGCCCCCCCTCTCTCCCTCCCCACCCCCCTTTCTATCTCTCAATCTCTTTCTCCCTCCCCACTCCCTCTCTTTTTTATCCGTCTCTTACTCTTTCTCTCCCTCTACACCCTCACTCTCTATCCCTCCCCCCCATTGCCCTTTCTTTCTACCCACCTCCCCACCCCCTTTTTCTGTTTCTTTCTTCATCTCTCTATTTAGAATTTCAGCCTCTGTCCCTTTCTAACTCCACCCCCATCCCCTATTTATTTTTTTATGTGTATTTTTCTTTCTCTGTCTATTTCTCCCTCTGTCCCTTTCTTCCTCTCTCCCCACCTCCTCTTTTTCTTCCCTTCTCTCTATTTTTCCTCCTCTGGCCCTTTCTTTCTATCTCCCTCCCCACCCACCCACTTTTTCTTTCCTTCTCTCTCTCTCTCTCTCTCTCTCTCTCTCCCTCTTTCTCTTCCCTCGTCGCCTCCTTGGGAAACAAGACAACTGCCGTGAGAACCCCAAGTGTTGTTCCACGTAACGAGAATACACGATTTTGTCACAACAGACTCGACAGGATTCGGCCCGCGACGGCGAGCGTCCATTCACAAAGCTTGCGCGTCTAACTTCTAAGTCTAATCTCGGGCTTATCAAGGTTCTTCTTGACTCGAGCTTTGAGCAGATAAGTTACTTTAAAAATCCGACGCTCGTACAGGTAAAAGGGTCACTGAGTGCTAAAAAGAGGTTGTTTGCTGTTAAAGTTCATCGATGTTTTATATTATAGCCATAGAGTGGAAGCGCTGGTTAAAAAAATAACGAAGTGGCTAGCCGTACTTAAGTACGGCTAGACTGCCAGTCTAGCCGTACTTAGATCTAGGTTTGGCCCTATCGACTCAAGCCTGTTAAGTACACAGGTCTCATTTGATCTAGATCTAGTAATTATCCAGGTTCAAATACATGCAAGTCAGTAAGGCACCTTTTGGTTTTGTCTGAAATACAAATAATTTAGGCATAGCAAAACTAAAAATTTCATTTACAAGTCAGCCATCAATATTAAGTACGGCTAGCCTGACAGTCTAGCCGTCCTTAAGTACGGCTAGCCTGGCTGTCTACCCGTACTTAAGTACGGCTAGACTGCCAGTCTAGCCGTACTTATCTTAGGCCCAATTAACATTAGAAAACAGGAGGTTTAAAATACATGCACTGTCATTAAGGCACCTGGTTTCGTCTCAAATACAAATACTTTAGGTACTGCACACTAAAAATGTATGTTTACAATTCAGTAGGCCTATTTTTTGTAAATGGTCAGTCTAGACATCATATTAAGAATAAGTACGGCTAGACTTCGAGTCTAGCCGTACTTAAGTACGGCTAGACTGCAAGTCTAGCCGTCATTAAGTACGGCTAGCCTCTTCCAAAAAATAAACCCAACGAAAAAAACAAACAACAAAAACTTACTTTATCCTATGTACCTCTAGGGCGTCCAGGGGAACAAAAAAACAACAAACCAAAAACAACCTAGGTAAAGATGAAAGCCTAAACGAAACACAACGTACCACTGACACAAAACATGGTTACTGCAGACTGCATAGCGCTCATATGACCTTAGCAGTTGCGAGCGCCGTAAAACCTTATACTAATAAATAAAATAGACTGCATACTATTTCTCCCCTGAACTAATTCTCGACACAAGCGACAAGCTTTTCCTTTCCCCCGTAAGTTCCCTTGATGACAAAACATGGCTCCTGCTACAGTACATGTTCCTATAAAGTGAACAAAGATGATGATTATCGCAATCAATCCAGGAGTCTATATTATGCATATAAGTAGATATATATATCACATCACTGATCGAGGAGACTGAGCTCAAGTAAAGAAAAGCACATCCACACAATAACAATCATTTATAGAAAAGGGAAAAAATAAGACGGACTGACAGACAGAAATGACAGGGAAAGAAAAGACCTACGACCTATCAAAGACACTTTCCAACTACCCCTTTTTCTGGAAACAAGTTATACGTTGTTCTGTTACTGTTAATAGATCAGATAGTCGTTTTTTTAGTGTGGCAAAAAGAAGATTGCATCAAGATGAAAAATGTCAATTAGTGCACAGGGAAGCAGATTGAGAGACAGAAACTACATACAACAGTCACCTCCTTCCTAGTACTAACAGTTACTCACACATTGAAGACAGAGACATATTTATGTATGGAGGAAAAATAATTTATTGTTTTACATACACAAAGAACATCATGCGAAATGTGGCACATTCGGCTCTCACTATTTCACTCCAACAGAAATAAAGCAAGACATCACTGGCGGGCAAGGGCACTGTTCTATCAGCCTGTGCTCTCCGAAAAAAAAGGACAGAAGAAATGGATACATGAAGAAAGGTAAACAGAGAGAGAGTGCGGGAGAGGGGGGGAGAGAGTGCAGGGGAGGGAGAGAGTGTGGGAGAGGGGGAGGGAGGGAGGGAGAGAGAGAGAGAAAGAGAGAGAGACATACTGTGGAAAATTGGACAATGAGAGAATTTAACTTACTGAAGTTCCGGGTCCAAAAATTTAAGGCAAAATTAAAATAAATTGGAAAAAATATTAAAAACGCCTAAACAGTAACAAGCAAATCTTACATTAATCTAGCAAAGCAGAAACAAAATTAAAATAGAGAACCAAAACATTTAGCCATTATATATATTAAGAAATACCAACAATTGAACACTGAAGACTACTGATGGCAAACTTGAGCTTAAAAATGGGACAATAGAGCAAGAAAAAACTAATTCATCAAGAGACAAGGTGCTTGCCTCTTGCGGAAGAGTTCTGGTTCAATTCCCTGTTTGTGTTGGCATGGTGTGTGGTTGGTGTTGCTATTTCCTAAAATTTTCGTCATCCTCCACACCCCTGACCCCATGGTCATTATTTGAGTTCCTGTGCTAATAATCACTTGGCTACTGGAACCCCCAAAGAGGAGGAGGAGGGCTTGGCATAAAATCTCTTTATCCTGTTTCAGCCACTTACAGTCAGAGACAGGGACGAAGAGCAATACCGTAACACAATAAAAAATATAAACTAAGGCAAAACATTTTTTAAAATGGAAGTGCAGCTAATAATGATAAGTCCATGGCCTCTACTCTATATAAACAAACGCACAAGACTCAAAAGCATGTATCTTGAGCACAGATTATTTTACCAAAATTAAAAAAAAAAAATGTTGAGTCAGATGTCTAAGGAGAAAGTACTGCTAGATGGATCAGGCATAACTAATTTCAACCAACAAAGTTTAAAGGAAAAATCAAGAAAGTCTAAGTACATTATTCATTCAGTCAGTGGGCACATTCTCAATTCTCACAGAATAGGCAAATCATCTTTTGGTAATATGACAAAATATATGAACCCAGATGAAAATTAAACATTACAAGCTAAAACAAATCAAGAAAAAATTTCATCATATCTCAATATCACTGTCGCTTAAATATCCTGGACCAAGAGAGTACTTCACCCTACTTCATGAAACTGACCACAAAATCAGCAAGTCTAATACTATCCACTGCTTTATAATGTCCCAACTAAAACAACCTATAACATGTCAATTCCTCTGGTTTGGGAAACCCATAACTCTTTATCTCCGGCAAGCTGCTCCAAGCGGCTTGCGGTCAGAACTGCTGTGCCGGTGAGCCGCTGACAGCGGATCGGGCACATTCCTTTAAGACGACTTTGACATCAAATTACTTTTTGGCAATTGCCGAAAACAGGTCTCTTTTATCAGGATTTCATTCATTAGATGAAGAACCATCGAAATAGGTTCGATTGTTTTGATTTATTGACCAATTTAGTGACGTTTTCGTCATTTTTAGATTTAGTACAAAAAAGGAGCTTCTGCACAGTGGGTTTACCCCCCACGTAGATAAAGAATTGACAAAAGGCTAAAACTAAAATTATCGATTTAAAAAACTAACCCCCACCCCTCCCACAGAAAGCTAATACAAAGTGCACCTATTAGAAAAGCACTGTTAAAATTGCTATAACGTTGGATCCATTTAAACCAAAACCAATTCTCATCTTGGTTGAACATAGGGATCATCTTGAACAGATGCAAACACTAGCACACGAGGAACAATAGCACTAGCTCAACATATAGACCAGTTTGGGGCCAAGGGGAATACTGGAGCCATTCTCAGACACAGTGACAGTCCCCGCCTCCTTGTTGATGTGAAAGACAGCGTCCGCTTTCAATTCTGTTTTCGAATCCTCTGGACGATTCATGTCCGGAATTTTCCTAGAGCCAGCCTCAGGATCCACATATCTCAGGAACCTCAAAGCTGATGAATCTGAAAAACAGCGGGGAAAAAAATCAAATTACGTCCATCGAGGAAATTTTTCACTCACAGCTCGAGTAGTTTAAATTTACAAGTTTTTATGAAATGGCTGATTAGATAAACTTAACAGTTCTCACCTGCCAGTTCTTCTTCAAGGGGCAAATCAGGAACAATAATTGGCAACATCACAGTTCACCATAATGGTTTTTCTGCTTGGGAAGTCCTAAAAAAACCCTGCATTATCCGGGTCTTTTCCCACAACCCATTTTTTCAAGTTCTCTATGTAAAGAATTCTTGGTCAACGTCAACCTCTTTTTGCTTTCTGTTGACTTTTGTTATGGTTATCGATCCAGCAACGGCTAGGCCCCTGTTCTTCTGTCCAATGCTATATAGTGATAAATGCAGGTTCTCTGCAGTTACTGTAATGTTCCATAGAGGGTGTTGTCAAAGATAGATCTAAGAGGGAACGTGTAGCTCTGATGTCATTTAGAGCTGTGCAGTGGAACAGGTGATGGTCCACAGTTTCATAAGGACATATTGGGGGAAGCTCTGGTTTCATCTTTATGTCATATAAAGAATTTTTCACTGATTCCCTAGAAAAAAATAAACCTAAAACATTTCACCACTCCAACACAGGCTTATGTTGTAAACTCTCTTCTGTCTATATATATATATATATATTATATCCACATGCACCACAAAGCTTTTGAAAAAACATGAAAAATGGGTAAAACTAAATTAAGCTATACAAGGACTTTTTCACTGACCCCTAGAGTTTATACTATAAAGATATTTGCTACTCAAAACCAGATTAGATTATAAATGATACAGTTTATAAAAATGAAAATATTCAAGGATACTACTCGATATCGACCAATCAATACTGGTAACTGAAATTATTTTGAAGAGGCATTTCCTTACCTTTGACTTTCGACCGCTCCTGTTTAGCGATGCGGTTGGCCACTTGTGCGACAGTATCTCCCTCGAAAATGTCCAGCTTCAGCTCAAAGAGGCCGTTGAAGGGCTGGTTGTTGAGCAGGGTCAGCTGCACTGAGGGCTGAGAGAAATTAAAGACTGGTAATGTTGTAAACATCTTTGTGAACACTGGCTAAGACATAGGTGTTTTAAACTAAAGGCTGGTGGACTGCATACGGCTCAGAGAACAAATAAAGGTAGCCAGCGAGAGAATTTTGGGTAGTGCATCTTGAAAATTTCCATTATATAGAACCCTACTCTAAACATCAACAAACTTGTCAAGAAAAGATGCCAAACATCCAGCTCAGACAAATTGGCTGGTATGTCATGATTTATTATCATTTTAATTTTTGTCGGTTTACATTCATAGTATTGTTTAGGATAGTTTAGTTTTCCACTGCTCAGTGAGTGTTTATCCAGTTCAGCGTGCAAACTTGTGGGTGATTTGAATTTGACCCCCCTCTAAAGTTGAATTTGACACCCTTGATCTAAGAGATTGTAGCATTAAGCTATCTTTTCATCATTATCAATATTATTGTCAAATAACTACAGTCAGGAACAGATAACACAAATACAGAAAACTCTTAATCACAAATAGCTTGTGAAAGTTGTCATTCCCCGACTGATATCTCTTTCAGCTTTCGCTATTGGTTAACCCTGAGTTATGGATGTGTCGAACATATTTTGCCACCTTAGAATTTCACAGTTCTATCTGACATTTTTGGCCGTTTTGAGTTACTAAGACCACGAGGTCAGAAGCCAAATGTTCTAACTATTCTATCAAAATCGTAAGATTATTCAGAGTCGTTATCAAGATACTTAAAAAATTGCATTCTAAAAATCTTGAAGTTTTGTGAAACTCAAAATTTTTTATGTCAGATTTTTCAAAAGTAGGTACTGCGCAGATAGAACTTTGTAAATCTAGGGTAGCGATTTGTCAGTCCCGGATGTGCTTGAGCTATCTGTGCCAAGCTGTAGTTGAATGCTTCATGTGATCTTGTGAAATGAGAAAGCTTACAAACTCATTCATACATTGGTTCCCTATTTGGAAATTGTGAATAATCAAAGAATGAAGAGGACTTTATGAGGCAGTCAAACAATACCTCAGTCTTGAAGGTGATGAAGGGCTGGCTAGGGCAGCAGTCCTCTTTCACTTTCTCATCGGCATCGTCGGAGGACTTGATCTCAATACCTTCAACCTGACAGGGATAAAGAAATCATGCAAACCAATTGAAGAAGAAAATGAAAAAAGGAAAAAAAGGGCTTTGATCAAATTATTCTCATATATGCAATGTCTCTTAGGTATACATATCATAGTCTGTGATTTTATCGGAAGGAAAGTGCTAAACTGAAGAGATGATTTTTTTTAAAGACACCAGAATCTCTCACCTCCAGAGTGTTCATCAGGTATGGTAGACTCAGCTTGAGAATCTCCTGCTCATCGATCTCAGAGGTCAAGGCCAGAGCCTTCAGACCCAGCTTCGCCACATTCTCCTGAAAATCACAGTGGCAGAGTTAACGACAAATAGATAATAATGATAACAACAGACCATATTTACATCATGCTTTTTCACGGGACGAAACCTAAATATAGTTTGGTTTACAACAAGTCAGTATATATATTTTTTTAACATAAAAAATAATAATATTAGTAATATTAATAATAATAATAATGATATTAATAATGATGACAGATTGCAATTACTGACTAGTATTGACATCTTTGAGTTACAATCTGCATCGTCATTGGAATATAGTTTGTTTTTCATGGGGACTTTTTATGAATTCTTTTCATTTAGAAAATGAATAAGGCTTGAACAAATTACTGCACCCACCCCCATTGTCGTTGATTTTAGAAAAAAGAAACTGCCCCTGCAGCCACTCAAAATGAAATGTGAAAACATCGAGCAAGTGTCAGACTATAAGTATTTGGGTGTTACAATAGACAACAAACTCAACTGGCGTGTCCACACTTCTCTCCTGCATAAAAAAGTGAACAAAAGACTATTTTTTCTTAGAAAGCTAAAGTATTTTAAAGTTGATAAAACATTGATGTCCATGTTCTACCATTCAACCATGGAAAGTATTATCAATTTTTGTATAACAGCATGGGCCGGGAACACAAGACAACAAGATAAAGAAAAATTAAATCGACTAATACGGAAAGCATGTAAAATTTCAACATCTTCATTCCCCTACTTGGATGAATTGTACATAACAGCTTGCACTAAGAAAATTAATTCCATCTTTTTAGACAACAAACATCCCTTGTTCCATCAAATAAAAACATCAGTCAGAAGTAAAAGACCCATGCTTCTGATCTGTAACAAATAAAGATACAGAAGGTCATTTTTACCATCATCTATCAAAATGCTTCCATCTTAACCATCTATCTTGTTTAGTGTACTTACGACCTTAGAGCATGCATCAAAATAACATAGAGTGTGTATCTAGCTTACGGTTATTATTGTTTATATTGCTGCTCATTTATATTATGTATGTGATTGTAAGCCTACTTGTGTGTGCATGTGCGTGCACGTGTGTACGTGTGTGTGTTTGTGTGTGTGTGTGTGTGTGTGTGTGTACTCGTGGTGGAACACCAAACCAATGTGCCAGGATCTGGACAATAAAGATGTATCTTATCTTATCTTATTATCTTATTTCCTGTGCCCCCCTCCCCCCCAAAAATCAAAACAACAATAAATAAACACCCTCCATTTCCCCCTATAAAAATCCAACAAGAATCAACCTGAACACAGTCAACGTTGCACACACACACACACTTACCTTCACCACCTGCACAAAAGGCATGAGTTTCTTCATGTATTTTTTCAGCTCTGCCTTATCTTTGAACTCATGAGCAATGACTTTGTTGTCTGGGAAACTCTTGTTGTTTGCCTGTGGATAGAAAAGAAGTTAAAAATATTAAAACTGATAATAACAATATTAATAGATAGCATTTTGTGTAGTGCAAATTCCTGCTCTACAGCAAGTTTTAAGTGCTTTACAATCTATATTATTACCCCAGAAGAGCTGATAGCATTCTGAAACAATCTCAACTTCACAGGAAAGCATACGACATGTGCTGCCATTTTATAGGCTCTATAACACAAACATACTGAGTTGACAAAAATCAGAAGTTGCCTCAAGTCATCACTACTGGATCACACAAACAGTCACATGGTTGTAACTAAATTAGACTGGAGAACAATTGGTTACCTTTTTAAAGACTGTATTTCACTGCTAAATAAAAAAAAAAAGGCCCCCCAATTTCAAATGAGCTTGACTTTTTATTGTCCAAATGTTGCATAATCATAGGAAATTATTAATTCCTTCCAGCCTGACGCAGCCCAGCGACAGAAATATGCAAAGTTTGACCCATGATAAGAGATGCTCGTATGTGCATTACTTTTTTTTGCAAAGCATTAAACTCTTGTCTTAGAAGAGTACGAATCACCCTTAAAACAAAACAAACCACAGCAAAATATAGAGGTAAACTCCCTTTACCTGATACAGCTTCTTCAGAGTGGTCAGGACTGTGTTCTGCCAAGGAGGGTAGGTCTTGGCCACCCAGATCACAGCGTGCGTCGGTATAGACACAACTTTCTGGAGACCACAAAAATACAATAAAATTATACAGTATATCCCTTCGAGAAAGAAAGAAAGAAAAAGGAATTAAAAAGAAAAAGTAGATGAAATGGTCCAAGAGAGCCACCTGTTATTTATTGAGGAGAAAAGTGGTTGCTGTAGAAATGTGGAAGTTTGGACTGTGTCATAATATTATTGCAAAAAATGAGAGGGGGAAGTAAATAGTGGTCATTTGTATAGGTGTTTACCTTGGACAGGTGAAAGTTAGAGCAGGTTCAACTATACTTTCTCCAAAGAACATTTTATAATTTGATTAATGAAAAAAGAAAATTTATAGAAACTACCTTCTGGAGAGAGACAATCACAAAACACGATAAAATAATATAGGACATCCCTTTGAACCTCTTGTAAAAAGTCGTAGCCTACTTGATCGTCTAATATGTTATATAATTCGATTCATGAATTAGGAAAAGTGCTAGAAACTACCTGGATCTGGACAATAAAGATGTATCTTATCTTTTGTGGACTACTTAACACAAAAAAATAATAAACAGGGCATCGTTTTGAACAAAAATAAGTACTTTCCTCTCGGTACTCTTTTTATAATTTGATTCATGAATAATGAGAAGTTCCAGAAACAACCTTTGAACCAAAACGAGCCGTAGTTTCCTCAGAGTACCCAAAATATAAAACAGTTCATAAGCATCTCATACTGTGTAAAAGACCAAGATAAAATAAAATAAGTTTTTCTAAAGCATCCGCGCAATAAAAAGAGAGACAAACCATAACGGCTGACGTCTGTTTCAGACAAGGAAGTAGAAGGAGGAGGAAAAAAACCCCCCTAACAATTTAATATTTCCGGGCAGTGTAAGGCGTACTCACAAGTCTTATATATGTACGGTCAGTTTCAGATCGTATATGACTGAGTTGTACATACCTTGCCCTTGCCTGGGTTCAGGGCTGCCTTCCTGCGTAGCCGGAACTCATGTGCAGCCTCCGAGAGGTATTGCGCGGCTTCGATCAGCTTCTCATCAATGGGGCCAGCCTGGGGCCACGACGCATGCATCACGCTCTCCTTCTGTAGGGGAAGACAGAGAAAGGAGGAGTGTTATATATCTGGCTGCGTCTCTAAGCACACACAAGGGAGGTGGGGAGTGAGGAGGGAGGAAAGGGGGGTGGAAGGAGGGAGGGAGGGAGGGAGGGAGAGAGAGAGAGAGAGAGAGAGAGAGAGAGAGAGAGAGAGAGAGAGAGAGAGAGAGAGAGAGAGAGAGAGAAGGAGACAGAGAGAAAAGGAGAGGGAGGGAAGGAGGGACAGAAGAACAGTGTGAGAGAGAAAGAGAGGAGAAAAATAGAGATGAAAGAGAGAGAGAGAGAGAGAGAGAGAGAGAGAGGGAGAGAGAGAGAGAGAGAGAGAGAGAGAGAGAGAGAGAGAGAGAGAGAGAGAGAGAGAGAGAGAGAGAGAGAGAGAAAGTGACAGACAGACAGACAGACAGAGACACACACACAAACTCCTGACCTTGCCCAGCAGTCCCCAGATGTACTCTGCGATGTGGGGACAGATGGGAGACATGAGCAGAGCCTGCAGCTCAATGTACCGGAACACCAGGTCTCTGTGCACACCCTCCATGGCCAGCTCTCGATACCGGTCACGCTTTGCCTGGAAAAGTGGACGGGGGAGGTTGACTCGGTAAAGTGGTAAAGTGCACAGGTGCCAGCTGGCAATGAAAAAAAAAATCCGGAACTTTTCCGACCCCCCTAGAAACCTGTACACTGAGACAACCAAATTTATGGATCACATTGTCCAATGCATTTTGTATCAAGTATTTTTATATAAAGTGCAAAATCCAGACAGTTTCAAAAATCCGGATTTCCAAATTTGTCTGGGAAATTCATACCTCTGAACATTGCACTTCTTGTTTGTGTAGTTGAAAAAGCAGAAAACTGATTCCTTTCCAAAAGAGATCAACTGCGCACTTACAGATAATTCAAAGTGAACCACTTAAAAAAAAAATATCCCTCATTTCATAAGAAGAAGTTAAAAGTACTCAAAAACAGCGTTTTAATATTTCTCTTTAAAAAATTGAATTCAAAGCTTTGCGCAAGAAAGCCTGAGGAGTACAACACCATTTACGCATTCATAAACACACCAAAGGATTAGAGTCAAAATAGGCTGAGAAAAATACCTGAAATTCAAACAAGCCTGTTCGCAGAGCTGCCTTGAAAAGATACGCATCATAGTTTGCTTTAGTCTCTTCAACTGACTTGTTCATCTCGCTGCCAAAAAAAAAAGACGAATCATTGGATCACAAATAGCAGATACATGTGCAGGCAAAAAACCCTCATCTTCTTACATTATCAATGCACAAATTGAGCAACAACAAACAATATATACACATCATAAAAACCTTTTCTTAACTTTGTTTTAAGTTTTCCAAGGAAGCTGAAAAGATAGTGCTGTTGCAGTGAAGCATGTGAATATGCTTCTCAACCTTATCTGTTTAACTTTACTCTTAATACTCAGAAATAACTTTTTAAAAGAAAAATCTTATTTCAATCTCTAAGATTCTCAAGAAGTGTATCTACTCTAAATGATATCGACAAATAAAAAGTTCAAACAAAGTTTTAAAAAGAAAACTTTTGAAATAGCGCAATACATTACTTACACCTACTCTTTGCATAATATCTGAATCCTTTACCATATTACAGAAAAGACCACATGAAGCTCCATTCGAATTGGCATGCTATAAGGTAACATGTAAACATCTTGTGGAAGAAGGCCAAGGCACTTAACAAGTGTGAGTGAGTAAAATGCATTTATATTAACTAGCAGCAGAAACTATGTTGAGCAGATGGAACAGTCCGGTGGCAAGCATGGAAGAAAAGGGGGGGGGGGGGTCACCTTTGTGCTTGCGTCTCACCTGAGGAAGACTTTGTCATTGAAGGTGTAGGAAGACTCTGGCCCCGAGCGGAGGCTGTCCTTGGTGGCGATCATCTCACGCACCCACTCCACCAGCCCGTACAGACGCAGCAGACCCGCCTCCGCCATCTGCTCCACAAAGTTGGCGTCATCCACATGGTCGCCCGCATCAGCCAGGGACAGACGCATACCTGGACAACGTACGCTTACATCAGCCAGGCCATGCCATCTAGATGTATGTAACGTGTATTTGTAAATGTTCTAAACCCCCCCCCCCTCAATTCAGATAATTTGAGGGACTATCATTGGTTATTTTGAAGAGATCACTGCAATTGGGGAATTCCTGTGTGGAGGTAGCCAAGCATGAATTGACTGTAAGCATGGCGAATCCATGAGCACAGCATGTACTGTGTAAAGTGTTTAGATAAGAGCAAACATGAAAAATTGTTAGGTAAAAAAAACACGTCCACTATTATTTCCAATCCACGCAACACTTTCATCTCTGACAGTACATAAGCTACAAATATTGACTATTAAATATTTTTTGTTTAAATAGAGACTGCAGGATTTGGGAAACACGAACACAAATAAGCACAGCATTTTAAGAATTTCCAGTCACATCATTACTCACCATCAGCAGAAAACTTGCCGATAGCATCAGTCAAAGTGAGGAAGTTCCCAGTTGACTTGGACATCTAAACAGAATTGTGGAGAAATTAAATTTAAAAAAAATTCAAATTATTATTGCATTGACAGAAAATGAAAAATGTTTCATTTCAGTTTGTAAGAACACCCTCCTTTCATCTTTATTTCAACTACAGTTAAATACAAAGAAGGCAACTGACACTTCCACACTGAATGGAAGAAACCGAATATAAATTCATACTCTCATTTTACACAAATTATTACCACACAATTTCTTCTTTGGCAACAGAATCAGACATAGCTGTATGATCACACCAGAAGGCAGTTGGGTGGTTTTTTTCTTGTCTCCTTTCCCACCCGTGAATTCATCCCGAAGTCTCTAGCAAAATAACATTCAACTCGGCATTGACAGACAAAAAAATTACCAAAAAATATAGTGACAACTGCATGTACAGTTGAGCCTGCTCTAACACTGACGTGTCCAAGACAACCATCTGTCCCAGCAGCAAAAGGACTAACTTCCCACTGATCCTCTTGTATTTTTTCTATGTCATAATGACACCGTTCAAGAGGACCACCCGAGATGAAGATGACCAATTTTGTCCTTGACAATGAGTGGTCATTTTGGACAAATACATGCTTTTACCTTCCCCCCTTTCAACCTCACAAAATTTTCCGGAAATGTAAATGCAGTGAAGTAAACAAAAGAGATGCAAAAGTAGTTCTTACCTTTTCAGAATTGATGAGTAGATGGCCATTGGCTCTGATGCCTTTCGGCCATTTGGAGCTGGAGAAAAAGATGCATAAAGGTAATTCAAGTCATAATTAATAGAGCATACATGTTTATCAAGCATTTGTACCGTTTGTTAACTTTTTTATATTCTCTTATCACTGAAATCAGCTTCTTTTTTGAGTGATGAAAATTTTGAAGAAACCTATTACATAGTACGAGTATAAGGCCACTGTAACACTCACAGTTTCCTTCTTGCATTTGTTACTATAATGTAAATAACTATATATCTATTCATGTATTCTTGTCACCTATGGATTGCAATGTGTATATTACACTAGGTGTTTGTATGTGTTCACTCATAATGATGTGTATGCATGCCTGAGTGGTGAGTAATGAGATAAAAATGGGTTGTGAGTGTGTAGGTGTGTGTGTGTGTGTTATAAGAGAATGTATGTGTGTACACCTGAATAAGTGTATGTGAATGTGAGCGTGTGGGTCATTTCTTTGGTGTGCGTATACGTGCAGAGATTAATAAATAAATTCTTTCACAGTATGTACAGTATTGTTCAAGTATGAACTATAATTAGATTTATATAAGGTGCCCTGAGTTATGAGCACACTGGAGTTGGCACTATAAAAATGATTTACATCATCACTATTATTATTATTACTACTTTACTTCACACACCTCTCATTAGGCCACATTGCTGTATGGCCGTAGATGAAGTAGGTCAGGTGGTTTGGAATGAGGTCTTTGCCTGACATGCGCACGTCCACAGGGTACCAGTACTGGAACTCTCTCCTCAGATGATCCAGGGTTTCCTTGGGAATGCCACAAGAAGCAGGGTAAGGCTTCTCCTTGTACAAGATGTGGTCCCAGACCTCTGGAGTCAGTTGCTCAGGCCTGAAAAAAAAAGGGCAAACATTAATTTCTCTCCCAAGAGTAAAATATTATTAATATCTTCATCTCTACTCCGCACAAAAAAAAATTATATAAAATCAAAGAAAGTTTGAGGAGGTATATAGAAAAACAATGCACACAAAGACTTATATTACAGAAAGTTCCAAAAGCTTGAATTTTTAAAGAAAGGGACAAAAAATGAACTTGTGAAAAATCTAAATATTATACTGCCAGCAGCTCTTTATCTGGCACCACACTTGTGTCCTCATTTTAAATCATCTTCTGCTATCACTATCAGTCACATACAGTCGAATTTGTGTAAGATGGCTAACCACTGTCATAGACTAAAGTGGCCGTCCTAAGCAGGACTGATAGAACTGAAGAAAACAGCCCATTTCCTTCTGAGGTCCTTATCACAGGCAGTCGAAGGCCTAAGCTGCCGTAAGGCCAATTCAAATGTAACGGATCGGCCAACCTGGGTAAACAGAGGGAAGGACTAGAAGCCTCCCTTTCACAATGTGCTGGTGAGCAATTGGTTCATTTACAGAACAAGCTTACAACAACAACATGAAAATGGATAATGATGGCTTGTCCACAGCACCAGGGGCCAATCTATAATTTATAGCAACTTGTCACGTATTTTGGCAGTTGTTCGATAAAAATATAGTGACCACGGTTGTGTTGGAAAGGTCAATGTTTTGGGTAGCGCAATTAAAAAGAAAATGACAGGTTTTTTTCTTGAGTATCACCGCCTGTCTTCTGGAATGTTGTATCCCTCTCAACACTGTTGGCCCTGATAGACACGATCCCTGCTGCCTGACAGCTAAATGACCTATATTATGTCGATGGGGGTGTTAATGCATCTACTTTTACTCTAACGAGTCTGCTATTGAGATAACTTACTTGATATTGGCAGGTCCCGGCTTCGACCCGTCCCAAACCCCACCTTGCAGCAGGTGGCATGCTGTGTAGTAAGCCATGTAGATGGTGGAGTCGGACAGACTCTCGATGAGGTATTGCTCATCCCAGGGCATCAGAGTGCCCAGGCCGTAGGAACGAGAACATGCGTGCTCTTTCATCCAGTCCAGCACGGCCAGGAAATTGTTGCGTACGTCCTCTGAGAACGTGTTCATGTCTGCCAGACATTTCTCAGCCTCTGCGCGCCACACCTTCTCCCCGTAGTCCAGGAACCTGGAAATACAGGAGGCATTAGCAAGATGTTTTTTCCAAAGTATTTAGATTAGGGATGCAGGCCTGCCTAGTCCACTTTTCCTGAATTAGGGACTCCTAGAGCCAAAAATAGGGACACTTGGTCCAAAAAAGGGACAGGACAAAACATAACAAGAAAATGGCCACTCACCAGTAATTTTTCATGTAATCTGCTCATACATTTATATACATATATACACTAGATCTATATACATTCTTTGATTCTGAGAGACCTACTCCCGGAATGTTCACTTAATTCACTGGTCTTGGACGCTTTCTTCTTTTCATTACCGGTATATCCACTGGCACCGAGCTTTATTATGGATAACAATCCTTCTAAATGTAGAAAATAATCAAGAAATTAGCAGAAAAGCAGAAATAATCTAGGTCTAGATCTTAGGAAAGCTGGTTGTCGATGCGTCGCACGCGGTCCAAATCACAAAGATGCTACGCTATATGATGAAATGAAGATAGAAAGTCAGATACAGAAACAATATTGATGCCGAATCGAAAAAGACCCCCAAAAAAGTCGAGGCCGAATCAAAAAACACTGTGTTGACACATAGGAATAGCGTGGAAGGCCAAAATTTGTCTATCAACCGCACGGAAACGAAATAATTACGGGATCATTTTGCAGCCGTCTTGAGATTGACGGAAACCAGGACGAGGCGTAGCAAAAACGCGACAAGGCCTCAAAATTGGTGAAAAAACGGGACATCCCGGGAAAACCGGGACAAATAGGCAGGCCTGGGGGTACCAACCAGCTACGGAATAAAATACAGAATTTTTTTAACCTAAAGATTTAGTTTTAGTAAGATTTTAACTGCATTTGCAACACAATAAAATAATAAAAGTGCCGAAGATTAGAGGTGTTACACGAGAGTAACAAACACAAAAAAAGAAGTAGAGATCAGGACGATAGATGTTTGTTAGGAAAGAATGAGCAAAACACATCAGAGCATCTGGTAACTCTCCACTAGACCCAAAGCAAACTGTGTATGGATTAAAAATTCACATATCAAGTTATTGTCTAATGTATCTTGTATCAAAAATCATTTGACATGGAGTACAATATGCAGACCTGCCGCTCTATGAAATCTAAAAATCAGGATTTTAGAGTAAAAAAATCAGGATCTAGTGAAAAAAATCGGGATCAACGGCAAATCAGTCATAAGGGGCACTGGGGAAAAGGGGGTGGGGGTGGTCCCGGTTCTTTATGAGGCGAGTATGCAAGCCAAAACTTTTTGAAAACTGAAAGACAGCATTATTATATGTACTCGAATCGGAGTTGGATAGACTGGGGGAGCGCAGGTTGCACTAAAGCTGAAACTCTCGTAGTCTTGAAAATAGCTGACACATAACTCTAATCATCCAGAAAAAAAGTCAGCGTTTTCATACAGTAACAACGTTTGACTTCCATCGTTTATACACTCAAGGTCCCCGGAAAAAATATAGCGCCAAGGTTGTTCATTTATTTTTTTTATCCCTTTCCCCTCGATTAGTACCTGTATCACGGCACGCACTTTCAGCCCAAGTGTAAAAAAATACCCCTCCCCCCGGTCGTCCACACTGGTTAAGTCCCGGAAAACACCTCGATCATTGCGACCGGTGTGAATGAGCTTTGTTGACCCCGACAACCGACAGTCCCTGACACACGCGCTACTCTCCACACGTACGAGGTCAGCGAAAGTAGATCTTGAGCGTATTCAAGTGGGAATTCAAAATTGATACGTCGATTTTAGTTGAAATAACGTGTGTGAGTCAACTACTAGATTCGGTATAGATGCTTTACAAAATAGCGTTCCAAGTTCCTGCCGATAAAAAGTCCAATCGGTGTTTCCAAGCAAAAGAGATTGCAGAACTTTTTATATTTTTTTCTAAGAATCGGACGCAACGACAAAAAAATCAGGATACTGGCGATCGAAATCGGGAAAATCGGGATGCTTGAGATTTGGGGCAAAAAATCGGGATATCCCGATTGAATCGGGATGAGTGGCAGGTCTGAATATGACATGAAAAGACAAAAAAAAAAGATTGAAATATAAATACATGTGTACCCAGGAGGATATGAAAAAATCCAGACCATTTCAGAAATTTGGTTTTATTGGGAAAACTGGCAGCGTTGTTGGATAAAAGAACTATAACTTTATAGCCAATTTCATCATTGATCATCATTGTACTGAAAATCCTATCCTTGATGCATTATCGCTTTAGCCCAAGTCACAATGGTTGATGTATGAAAGCACCAGGTTTTTCCTTTTTAACAGGAGACAACTGGCTATTTTTCAGAGCTCAAATAAAAGTGCAAGCAGTGACTAAAAATCTATGCATCATTTTGTCAAACACATCTGGGATGAAGACTATTTTTATATTTGATATCGGGCAAAATTTTTAGTTTCAGGGATCCGGATTTCTCTGAGAAAACTCACCACTGGTCACATAGAGCCACGACACACTCGTCCCCAGAGCGAGAGACCACCAGCTTCTCTGGTTCTTTGTACAGGACAGCTTCATTCTGGAAGAAAGAAAGAAAGAAAGAAAAAATAAAAATATATTACATTTTTATTGATCAGTGATGGGCAATTCGGTTTACAATGGCAAACATACATACATAATTATAAATGCATACATATATACGTAAATACATACACAAATACACAATATTACACTGATACAGAGCAATTTCACAACCATGCCACTGCTGGTCGTCACTGTGCAGTGCCCTGTTTTTTTTTGCTAGGGTTGTTGTGTCTTGTTCAAGGACACACCCCAGTGACCACCCTCTTAAACCCTGTGCCACCGAACACTTGCTTGACATTACTTCTGAGTCTGAACTCACTACTCACTTAGCCATGGGAGCCCCCTAAGTGGTATCAGGAAGAGTTATACGTTCTCACTGAGACAAACAATGAGCATTATATCTTAAAATCAATGATGAGAATGGCATACTGTGGAGGCTAGAAATAAGATGGAAATTTAGAAGTTTTATACCTTCATCAGATGAACTATTATTGTTATCATTATACCCCCATCAACAGTATTCAGATCATTTAGAAAGTGGGCTCCTTCGATCCTGCCTGTCGGGGCCAACTTGGGCAGAGACGGATGCATTTTCTCAGCAGACAGATGGTGGACACTCGATAAAAGACATCCCCCCCAAATGGAAATCAAACTCACTTCCTGACAAAGTGCCTAACCAGAACTGCTATACTGCAGACACTGACACAGAGACTAGCAGGAGACCACTTTTGGATGAACATCCAACACAATTTAGATTATTCAGCATCCTGGAGACACACGATACAAAAAAAAAAATCCTCTGGCTTTCAAACCCACATAATTTGTTGCTCTGATTGACATGAGAAACATGCAATATCTGACTCACTTTTTTAATCATCTCAGCCTGGATCAGCTTCTTCACATCTTGAACACTTTTGCCTTCATATCCTTTCACAAGCATGACCTGCATGACAAGAAAACAAGTAAAATACATATGTGCAGCTGAAATTGTCTAAGATGACCACCCATGGACAAGAAAAAAGTGGTTTCAGACAGGTGAATGTTTTGGACAGTATCATAATATAAAAAAAAAAAATTTTTATGCAAGGGGGGAGGGGAGAAAGAGGGGAGAACAGAAATGGTAATTTTGTACAGGTGGCCGTTAGAGCAGGTTTGACAGAAGTTTGATCAACAAAAAGATCAAAATCTATAACCATGTGTGACACCCGTCTCAACGTGAAGTATCCTCCCACTCTAGATCTGGGTTTGAGTTTATAAAGGGTGGCTCATCGACACGATAACACCCATATCAAGCAGAAAAAAAAAGAAGCAAAATGGACTGATAATTACTGCAGAGAGAATAAAACAAAGTTTAGTTTTAGTAAAAGTTTGCAAAATGAATAGATTGTATATGTGCAAGATGTTAGAGGTGTTGCTAGAGATTAGTGTAGTAGAGGTTTTACGGCGCTCGCAACTGCATAAGGTCATATGAGCGCCATTTGTTATTGTTTGTTTTTTTAAAGTGTTTTACGGCGCTCGCAACTGCATAGGTCATATGAGCGCGCTGGACACACCTAATATTTTCAGTTGGTAGGAAATTTTCGAATTTTGCCCGGGTGGCGGCCGAAGCCTACTCTTATCGATTTTAAACCACCAAGGGATCTTTAAAGTGCGCAACTTGCACACGAGCCCTCCGAGATTTTTCGCCCTTGTCCGAGAAGGCTAGGTGTAGATCTTTCCTACCAGAAGATCAGGGGTGTGGCAGAAAGACAGCAGTAAGGAGGAGACAAGGAGTAGCAGTAGAAAGGCTGCAGAAAGAGTCAGGAGCCCAGAGTGAGAAGGAGGCAAAGGCGGTGAGAGGGTGGGGGCAGAAAGTGGAAATGAAAGCAGACAACAGAACATTACTAGAGAGCAGGAAAGGAGGGGAAAGGAGACAATTTTAGAGAAAAATTTTTTTCGGTCGCTACCCGGATTCGAACCCGGGACCTTTGAATGAGAGGCCAACACCTTAACTTCTAGGCCACGAGAGCCCCCGCCATTTGTTAGAGATTAACATACAAATGAAAGAATGAATAACAAACACAAAAAAGAAGGAGAGATAAAGACGATAAATGCTTGAAAAAATAGAAGGAGCAAGACTACATTAGAGCACCCGCCAACCACCAACAAACTGAGATCAATAATAACAACATTGATAAGGGAAAACAACAAAAACTTTATCCGCAATAACACAACAAAGCATCAAGAACAACAACAAAAACAAGAACACTGCGCCAATACCAACTCACCCCTTCATAGAAGCCCTTCTTGTAGGTGTCCTCCTTGGCCTCCACCAACTTGTCCCGGTCATTCTGACTGACCACCTTGTAACGCTCACAGGCGGTCACCGCACACAGATTGCCATAGCCCGGCACCTCGATGATGGGAACCTAGTCGAGGGGGAGAGCATGATTAAATTAGTGAAGAAGAGATCGTCCCATAAAAACCAATTTGTCTTTAAAAGTACCATTACCCTCGTTTTGAGAAAATCGGGGGTTAGAAATTTTTGGCCTCTGTAATGTGGAATATAGTCACTTTCTAATTTTTTTCCTGTTTGTCTTATTACATATTTAATATGTAGGACTTAAAAATGTATTTGTGGATAGCTTTTTCATGTCCCTATTGACATGATATAGATCATATACGAGACGCCCCCATCTTCACAGTTTAGATCATTTAGGAGACAGGCTTCTGACCCTGCCAGTCAGAGCCAACCCGGGATGGGAGGGATATAGCATTCCAGGAGAAAGACAGAGAGATACTCAATAAGACTTTTTTAACGACAGTCAATTATCACAGACAAGATAACAAACTTGTATCTAAAACTTGACGTACCGGTTCAAACGGCATCACCATCTCGTCTGTGATTCCATACTTTTCCCTAAGAGGCTGTGGATCAATGGAGACAAATAAAGGAAAAATAAGATGACACGTGAGGCAGTACACATGAAATCCCCCCTCCATCAACGTGCCCTGGCAAGTAAGAATCAGACTGTTACAAAAGAGTGGCTGTGTGTGTGTGTGTATGTGAAAAAGTGTTAGTGTGTTCAGGTGAGAGCAAGTGCCTGTATGTATGGGGAGCCTCACAGGACAAGACTGTTAGAGTGATTGTATAAAGCTAGCAAAGACATATACACCCATTTGAACATTGTAATCCTCACACAAGATGTGGAAGCAATAATATATCTCATACAGGAACACCAAGATGAAGACGTGGAAAAAAGGTAGCAGATCAAAATTGTTAGACTTAAAAATGTATTTGTGGATAGCTTTTTCATGTCCCTATTGACATGATATAGATCATATACGAGACGCTCCGCTTCGACCCTGCCTGCCAGTGCCAACCAAAGTTGCAAAGACTACAACATCCCACCAGACGACGGAGATTCCGGATTAAGAAAAACAACCTCCACACCTGGGAATTGAGTTCACATCTTCTGTGTACAATGGCAAAGAGCCTAAAATCTAAAACACAAATGCTGGTAGAGACTTTTTAGGTAAAAGGAAAAGCGCACTATTTGCAGAACATATAAAGCACTTACAGCTTTGTTTTTCAGATCCCTCAGAGCAGCAAAGTCGTCCGGAGCATCAGAGGGCACACTGGTGACCACACCCGTTCCTGGAAGAATACAACAAATGCAAATAAACCTTTTGTCATTAACTATTGAGAACAATCTTTCTTTACGCATTCATCTACTTCTGTCTACACGTAGGCTATAACTTTTTAAGCTTGAGGTGAAAGCTGGAACTCTTTCAGCTCTGAATAAAGGCTTTAATTCTTAACACTTTTCCATCACAAGGCTCTTATACAAAAAACCCTTGCCATTAAAGGCAAAGGCATTTGGGGGAAAATCGAATGAAACTGGGGCGGGGTAAACATTGCAGATTGGCGAGATGTGACAGCAAAGTGTTAAGCTCTAAATAAAACTTTCAGCTGTACATGAAACTTTCCAGTCTAACATGAAGCTATTCCAGCTGTACGTGAACTTCTTTCAGTGAAAGTGGACCAACTTTTAAAGCTCTAAATGAATCAGTCATGTTGTCTAAGCCTCACCTTTGTCATTTTTGATAGTCATCATAGGGAGAGTGTAGATGGTCTTGTAGCTGGTCTGTGGAGCCTCAAGAGGGACACCCATGATGTCCTGGGGAGATCAAACATACACAACTTCAGATGTGCACAATTTTGGTTTATCTACATGTAACATTACTAAAACAAAACTTGTACTTTGCAGACAACTTTTCTCTAAAAATTCAATCAAGAGCCCTGAAACTGTGAAAACCATTCATAGCACTAATTCTGACACTTTTTGCAGTCACAGATCACATACCCATAGAGAAGTGTGTGGCATTTTTGAAACTTTAAAATAAAGCAGTAGGCAGTTGACCATCCAGGTCTTGAAACATCATTGCATCAGTGTCTAGTAATCCACTGCACCTTAAAATTGTTGTATCAATCAGATATTTATTCTTTATATTGGGAAGTGGGTGGAGGATCAGTAATACAATACAATGAAAAGATAACAAAAGGCACAAAACTGTTGTAACTTTTGCACACGAGCCAAAATGAGGCAGATGCGGAACAAAATGTTATGTGAGCAGCGTCCCAGCTCATGAATCCACCACCTACCTGCCCGACAAGCTCCACCAGCACCTCCACCTTGCCATACTCGGGTGTCATGTCCTGGTAGCACATGTTGCGCGCTGCGCGGTGTGTGCTGATGAACACGTCTCCTCCCTTGACGGGGAAGGCTATGTACTTGAGGTCTGGGTGGACCCAGCAGTTGGTCTGGCCAAACATGGTCTCTGGCCTCAGAGTGGCCGCCACCAGGAACACGTTCCGCCCCTTCAGGGAGCTGGGAACAACAGAAAAAGGTCAGATCTTTATTTACGGCAATTCACATGTAATTTTTCTGGTGCGGCCAGAAACACATTGTTGCCCTTTGGGGAGCTTGAAACAACAGATAAGGTCAGATCTTAATGACATTACTGATGCAATCTGGTCATGGTGCTTCATTGCAGCTTTTAGCCAGTAGGCACTAAAATGGATACATTTTGACATAAAGCAGATTAGGATAAGAGTGGTTATTTTTGGTTAAATTTGAGTGAAGAGAAGCACATTGAAATGTAAAGAGACGCATATTGAAAAAACAACAGTCGTTTAGTGATGGGAAAACACAGGACACAGAAAGAACACAAGTTGTGCCCTCCAATCATCTGTGACACATTTTGAAATAAAGCAGTTTAGGAACGACAAGGAAAAAGCAGAAGGAGCAAACAACTCGAAAAGAATCATGCAACTCCCCCCCCCCCCCTTTTCAGAAGCACATGATATATGTTTCTTTGAATAAAAAGGGAATATATCAGACAAAATCATGGTAACTCAACAGGGTAGAGTTCCTTTCATCAATAATACTTACAAGCATAAACAGTGAAATAAGAAATTTTTAAAAACATTTAATTCTCAAGATGGAAACACTTACTCGAACTTTGCTGGGAAAGGCGCTTTCATCTTCATCTTGATCAAAGTGTACTCCTGGGGGCCAACATTCTGGAAGTACACAAGAGAACGAATGACCTCGGGACAACATTTTTCAATGTGCACGTCAAAGGTGAGATACTCAGAAGTAATGTCACTCCCCTCTATAGATACATCATACAAACATATGAACACTCCTTTTTCTCTCTCTAAATAATTGCATTATATAAACAAACGCATGTTTAATATTAAAAAATATTCATTCTGAATAAACGTGCCCACTGGTGCCGTAAAAAGTGTTCCCTTTCAATATTTCTCAAACATGAAAAAGCTGTAGACCGAGCAAATTCTACATTGAATTCTACATCTGTTTAAGAAAACATCAGAATTACAGACGCTCAAGGAACACCCTGATAGCAAGAAATCTTATCACATATTATGTGTGTCACATCGCTCAAAGCCTCCGCGAGAACAAAATTTCAACAATTAAGAACTAAAATGGCAATAAAAGTAACTGTTAGCTCACCTCTCCAGCACTTCTGTCGTGGTCCATACATGGCTGGTTGTCTTTGGGGGAGAAGATTGTGTACCTGAAATAAGTTTTACATAAAATATAATCATCAGCTTTCTAAACCACCATGCAAGGACTGTAAGCTGTTTCTTTAAGATTACGAGACAAGAAAAAAAATCCCCACATCGCTTCTCAACAAAAGAAAATACATTTCAAGAGTGGCCATGTCACCAATTTTGCATCAAAGAACCAGCTGTTTGACACCTCACTTGACACAATTTCTTTCTTTTAAGGGGCCAGTTGCTTTGACTTCGCCTGTCAGGGCTTACAAAGGCTAAGAGGGATACAGCATCCCAGGAGACAGAAGGACATATGTCATGTACTTGAAATTTTTTTTAAAAAGCAACCCCCCCCCCCCCCCCCAACATAGGAATTAAACTCATGTCTGCTGCATGCAAGGGCAAAGAGTCTAATCATTACAGCACAGAAACTGATGCGCACACATGTGAAAAGCATGTCCTTATATGAGATGCTGATTATCATAATACCTTTTGCCAAACTTGACCTTGTTTCTCTCCTTCAGTCTAATAAAATTCCAACGGACAAAGGAGTCAAAGTACGGGTTGGCATCTGTGGTTAAGAAAGTCCGTCGCCAGTCCACCTGCAAAGTAAAAATTTACATATGTCAGAACTAGTTTAATGAAAGTATTATAACTATATTTATTTTCCTCAATACTTCCTCTTTTGCTAAAGCAGTGGTTTTATTCAAAGTTTTGAAATTGAGTACTACTATCTCTCCAGGCAACCCAGAAAAATAAGTAGGTGGCTGAAGAACGCCACTAGTAGATCCTATTTCTTTTTCCCCTTTGATTCTGGCCATCTTCTTGCTCCTTTTCTATCCTTTGATTCTGTCCGTCTTTTTGCTTTTCCCTAGCAATAATGACTGTTACTGCTTTGATGCACTTTGCTTTACTCAATCAAACATACTCAGAAGAATAAATGTCCTAAATAATTTTACACATGAAACCCCCTAGATATGACAATTATAATTTGCATTTTCTCAACTTACCCGAACCCCCATGCGTTTCAGGTCGTTGATCCAGTGAGGGGGGAAATAATTAAGCCAGTACATAGGGTCAGAAAAGTTCTTGATCTCCTCATTTGTCATGCCCATAGCAGCCATAATCTGCCATTGGTATTTCAGGCCACCAGTCTTAGCAGCTACTTTACTCTGGGGAAGAGATAAGATCAAACAGCTGTCGTGAGTTTGGGAAAATTAAAGTTTAATGCCCAATTTTGATTGGCTTAACCTAGAGCGCAACATCCGGGTCCCCGTGAGGTTGACACTACGCGACATGAAGAAATCGCAGGCCGTAGTTGATGCGATGCGTGAATACATGGTGGATGGTTACCCTATACATTTACTGGAAAGTTTCTTCATGTCCTGGTTTTGGAGCTGTCTTCATTAGCAATAAATTTTGAGAATAAAGGAAACCAGGTTGAATATTTCACTGGATGAAAAAAAATCATAAGGGATTATGCTGAGGGAAGCCAGCATGGGACAGCTTCCAATAAAAGTGTTAGGAAGAGATGAATGCAGTTTCTAGGACACTTAAACCAACATAAAGGCCTTGAACATCTTGCACTAACTGGAAGGCAAAGGAGAAAGAAGTAGACCAAGAAACCCTTTCTTCGAGAACTCAAACCAATGGGTGTTGGGAAAGACCAGTAAGATACATTTTTTTAACAGCACCCAAGCACAGTGGTGAACAATGACCCCCCCCCCCCCAATTCACACCTGGTACTTGAAGAAACAGACGAAGAAGGGAGATTATGATAAAAGAAGGGCATGCAAAGGCGACTGTTTAATTAAGCTCCTTCATAAGGCAGATCACATACGAAGATAATAGAGATGAAAATATAGAAGACAAATACGGTACTGGTGAAATGAATGGAAGCCCTAGCAACTAGTGCTCTTAACGTTAAAAATATAGGAAGCTGTGGGATGTGTTACTGGTTCGACTTTCAGTTTTGCCTGCCTCTCACCTTCTTTGACTTGGACTTATCCTTGCCAATCTCACTCTCTTTCGGTGCAGGCTCTTCTTTCTTTTCCTCAACAGGGAACACAGGTGGGTAGCCAAAATCTTTCATTTCTCTATCCAGCTTGTCAGCACATGCCTGGAAGGAAAACAGTGGCACAAAATTTAGAGCAAAATCAGAGAGTATCATAAAATCCTGACTGCACTTCCACGCTGTGACAAAAAAACAACAACAAATAAATAGTTAAAACACAACTTTATTTAAGGGGTCACTATTTTTAGCTGACAACTACTTACATTAAAATCATGGTTTCTTCTCAAAATTATAAAGAAAATAAACTTTCTTTGGATTAAATAAGAGTTTTATAGCACTTACAACAAAAATTGGTCATTTAAGTGTCGAAGATTTGAGGTGATACTAGAGAATAACATACAAAGAAAAGAAGGAGGAGAGATATGGAAGATAGATAATTGTATATTAAGAAAGAAGGAGTAAACCGAATTGGAGCACAGTCAACTACCCACAATTAAGAGTTGAATGCAACAACATTAATCTAAGTGTTTACCATAAAGTTGTTACAGCATCTAGCAACATCTTCCTACCTTGATGGGCATTCCTGTGCAGTGCAGGCCAAAAGGAAAGAGACATTTTTTGCCAAGCATCCTCTGGTATCCCACAGAAAACTGGAGAAAAGTAAAATGTCTTTGAGAAAGATGCTCACGGAAAAACTAAGGCAAAGCGCATACAATGTTAAGAGGCATATGCCACACATATACATAAAATTTTTAGAGCTTATGATTGTTATAAAACAGTTTCTTGAAGATCTGAAATGATATCATACATATCTAAGCCAAACATTACATCTTGAGATTCTAAGGTGAGCTATGTCTCATCAACCTGCCCCAAAATTATGAAATCCCATTACATATTCCTAGTACTAAAAAGTAATTTCACATTTCATTTCTTTAACAAGCTTTGGCCATATCAGACAAAAGGTTCAAATGTTAATTGCTCCATTTGCATGAAAATGTGTTCATAGGCTTCTAGACACATCATGATATAATTCAAGAACGAAGAGTCTAAAAATAAATTAAGGCAATAATTCTACTGTAAACTGGGGACCCGCAGCATTACAGCAAATAGCCCCATATCATCAGACGACAATGATTTTTAAAACTATTTCAATCAATTGGAATACCCATATATAACGATACTGATGCTATACGGGCCAAAAATTATTCACCTCACACTTGGACAGGCTGAAGGTGTGGCCCAAATGCGCTCTGCCATTCATGTATGGGAATGGGAAAGTCACCATGTACTTCTCTTGGCTACAGAAAGTAAAAGAGAGAGAAGGTATAAAATTTCACTCATAAACTCTCATCGGTTATATTGATTATTGATGACTTAAATATATATATGACAAAAACAAAAGTACACTAGGAAAGTAAAACGTTTTCTTCATATGCAGGCAAGTAAATTTATTGTAAAAAGGACATTATCATGTCAAATCATAATAAAGAATAAATGCCACAAAATACACTAAGACAGTTTCAAACAATAAACCGAGGACTTGTCAAAATCACTAAAATGTGACTACTACTGGTTTTTTCCGCTGTAGTCTTCACATGTCTGTTTTTAAATTGCAAAACTTACGAGGCATCCTTTGATCCTGGCTTTGGAGCATCAACCTCAAATATTTTCTCTGTTTCCCATTTTTCTTGCATCTGCTTTTCAATGCTCAGAAGTTCATCTAGCTTGGCTGTACTCTTCCGCTCCAAGGTGATATCAGCTTTATCTCCTTTCTCCATTGTGGCTTGCGTGTTGATGGTGAGCTAAGCACCAAAAGTCTGAAAGACAAAATAAGCTTGTTGATTAAAAGAGCAACAATAGGTTTAGTATAAATTCAAGTGCTTAGGGAAAGTTCATGTGGAAATTCTGAATGCAAAAAAAAAGAAGATTTTTGCTTTCTTCAAGTTCCTGCACACCCCTATGTTTGAGGTAGAGTTCATCAACCACTGTCTGTTGTATTCATTCTAATTTAATCGTCTCATCATTGAGCATAATAACTATGATGCATCTTTCTTCTTGTGTCATATGACACGTCAGTGCTCCAGGCTCGCTGACACAAAATTCTCCAGTTCTCTCCGGGTAAGTCTGATTTCTACCAAAATAGTTACCATGTAACCAAGACGGCCATCTTGACAACATAGTCAAATCCGTTTTCATAACTAATTAACTTTACCTTGAGGCTCGACCTTTTGGTAGTGCATATTGACTGCTGTGTGATTAGTCCTTGAATTTCATTAGTATTTTTGGGAATACACTTACAGGGTAGTAGATTAAGGTAAAAAAAAAAAGAACATCAAAAGGGCGGTCTCTGCAGAATTTGTCAGAGTAAAAAATGGCAGTAAGAGATCTATATTTACTGAAAACAATTTAAGATAGAGGCACAGGTCAATCTAGAGTTGAATTTCAAATCTACCAGATTCTAGTCTAATTCTAAATGAAGTGGCTATCCGTACAGCCCTCCCGTACACATAGTATCGAGGCTTTGTGTACGCCCTCCACGTCACATAATAAGCTAGGCTTTGTAAGTGGTACATAAACTATCAAACTGGACACTTCAAGTGGACAAACTTAAATCCTGGAAGCGAGCAGGCCCTTTACAAAGGGCGTGAGCCAGGCTACCCGAGAAACGCGCAGGATAGGGCTGATGTACCTCGATTGGGAAGCGCGCAGCTAGGTCTATATATATAAAATAAAAGGCATAAACGATTCTTTTCAATGGAAAATGTCAGTATTCCTTATAAATGGAAAATGACGTAGTAAATTACAGGTCAAAGTTATAAATAGTGACCAGCGACTTTGCAAGTTATCTTGACCTCGTAGAGCGTCTCTAGGCCAAAGATATAACAAGCGAGTTCACTCAGCCAAAAAAGTGTCTGCGGAAGTCAGCGCATTGGTTCAGATGATGCTGCAGTCTTTGTTTTGAAGCTCTTTCATTTCTCCAGCAGAAGAATAGGAATAGCAGTTTATTAGTTTCACTTTTATTTATTTTCACACAAGTAGGGTAACTGATCGCAAAGTCCGCACTTTTTCGAAGAGGGCACCACCAGATTTTAAGGACACTTTTTAAATAATAATTGGCTCAAATAGAGGTGTGAACTATCTTGTTTATACACAATCTTTGTCTCGATAAAGATAAAGTGACGCGGTCCAGCTGAGCGATTACCAAGGCCCTAGGCTATAAATCTAAATCTATACTTTAGAGGGCCGTACGCATAGTAACAGGCAATTCTAAAATGAGAATGTTAAACTGGAAAATCAAAGACAATGACAAATAGTGCCAGCCTTCATAAAACCTTGGCTTGGGAAGTGTTTTTCTTCGAAAGTGGCTATTCTCACCCGCCCGGAAGTTCTCGCAAGATCAACTCCTCCCCTCTTCTCTCTCTCTCTGTCTCTTTCTGAATACTGTCTATCGGTGTGGACGATCAAATTGACCAAAAAACAAAGTTAAAAAATGATGTTAAAACACAAAAGTAAATTAATTTGGTTGTCTACAAAGATGCTACGGCTATTTAACTTTTCGAATCGAGCCGAACTACGCGGGTCGCCATTTCGTTTTGCCCGGAAATTCTCCCGCTACTCCTCTCTCTCTCTTTCCACTGCCCACAGACAAAATTGTACGCTTTTAGTAGGCTACAGTTGTAATGGAACGTTTGTTCACGGCACAGAATTCTACAATTTTTCTGTTATCACAGTGTAGAATTCTGTGGTTTAGGGTGAACGCAAAATTTGGTGAACGCGCAACGGGTGAGAATGGCCACAAGACTCACCTGCACTATTCTCACTCCGGGTGAGAATAGAGGTGGCCTTTTTCTTCTGACCTCAACTAAATAAATGATTAGATCTAGATCTAGAATCTAGATTTCTAGATCTAGATCTAGAACTTCATCACCGCGATTTTTTAAATTACAGCAGACTATGAAAATCTGTTTTTGATGTCCTTTGACTTTGATACACCACACTCTTTATCTTTGACTTTGACAGACGTAGATATTTAATTACTGTAGAAGAAGATCTAGATCTAGCGTAGTTTTAAATGTATCCACCGGTCGCCTTTTGACGGTTACTGACAATAATGTAATGACAAATATTCAATATTGAATAGTTGTAAAGTAATTTAGTGACGTCTACTGCTGACTTCACTTCTGGTACCATAAAACTAGATCTAGATTATATATCTAGACTCTAACAGATACAGTGCAGAACTTCGTCAACTTAAACCTGTTTACCTGTCTCATGCAACAAAGGGAAACTATAAAAGAATGTATTTGAAATTGGCAATTCCCCAGAATAAATCTACCGGGATCACACAAACAGCATGCTGTAGTGTTGATGCAACCTGTCGACTCTTACTTAAAGAAGGGGCTCAACTCTGAATAAAGAAAATAGGGTCCGTTTAATGTGCATGCGCGTTGAAGCTACAGAGTTGATCTATAAGCGTGCAGAATATTTACGTGGTGGTATTTTTGAAACTACGCAAAATATTCCGTTTGCAGAAGAAGCTCTGCGCAAGAGCAAGGGAAACGAACCAATGTCAAAGGTCATACTAACAAAAAGAGGCTGAAAATGAAAATAAGTTTGCAAGATGAGAGAAGAGACTGAGTAATGAGTTAATGCACCGAAAAAGACCACAACGAATTCGTTGTCCGTTCTTTTCTATAGTTCAAGATATGATATCAGTGTGTCAGGCTGCGGTTGCTGCTGCAGCTAACAGTATTACAGTTGAAATTATATCAAGGGTAAGACCCGGTCTATCACGGACCACTCCTCCGCTGTCTGCTATAATTTTTTGCTGTGATAGAATGGCTTTGTGGTAAAGATTTCAAATAGATTTTACAGATATCTAAAATCTAGATCTAGATCTAGAATCTAGAATCTAGCTATGTTATCAAATATGCTATCTATTACTAGATCTAGATTCTAGATCTATCTTAGGAGGAATAGAAGGACAGTAGATCTAGAATCTAGATCTAGAGACTCTAGTACTCATGGAAACGGAAATATTGCACTGTGATATGGCATGGTAAAAAAACTGCTTCTCTTCCAGGTGCATTCTATTTTTGGGATGTTAATTTTCTAATGGTATTCTAACGAGTGACCACTGCCACATTAGAGTAGACTAATAATATGACTATTAATCTATAGGCCTGGGCAGAAACTGAATAAATTATTCGAATAACCGAATACGAGCCCAAAACTAGGTCTCCGGTTCATTTTTCCAAAAACTAGTTTGAAACTAGATCTAGATCTAGATCTAGGTACCTGTTTCTAAACTAGGTACCTAGTTTCTGATTCGTTTTTTTGCTATTGATTCGCTTTGAGAAACGGAAGAGTGACGTGCCCTTGGCGTTGCACAAAGGGTGTGGGACGGAGAAAAAAGGAGGGGGTGGGCGGGGAGGTGGGGGGGGGGGGGGGGATCTCTGGCTACGTCACACGCAGCAGAGTTGCGGGGTGACTATTGGTAATTGATATATTAACCCCTGTCTGTAACTCAGTGCAATGACTTCAATTTTTCTTGTCTAAAAAGGGGTTCTTTATTATAAACATTAAGCCCCCCCCCCCTCCAAACACACATGCACACACACACACACACACACACAAATGCACACACACACACATACACATACACACACACACACACACACACACACACACACACACACACACACACACACACACACACACACACCTTTTCCACCCTAAAACACTCCATCAAAGCCATTTTAACATTCCATTGTTGTTGTTTTTCTATCATTGTTCAATGTTATTGTTGACCTAAGAGAACCGCGTTCGTCTATAAGCTTGCTTTCCTCCGTAAGGTCTTTAATAACGTAATGAACAGTAGACCTATTATCTTACTGATATGATTTTTGACTATACCAAACTCCCTCTCATCAAATGAGTTAAAACTGAATCTCTTCGGTGTTAAGTTGTCTAAACAGCCGTATGCACTGCTCACTGCCGAACGCTCCGTATCCTGGATTCTAGCATGGAGATCATCAGGAGAGAATGCGTCGCTGTTTCGGGCTCTTCCTCTCTCCAGCTTTTCTGACGCACCGAGCCCCCTCACCGATGTGAGGTCTCCATGTTAGTTCGACTGTTTTCATCTGCTGCCAACTTTTGGATTCATTCCAGCCTGGGTCCTCTCGCTTCAACCAGATCCAGTGACTGGCTTTCTCTGCTGTCTCCTGAAGGGAGTTTTTGTGAGTTCGTTGCTTTTCTTTGCAGTAAGTCCTGCCACTTTCATCCACTCACGGGCCTTGTTGCTACAAAACCTCTGCATCCTACCTCTACCGGAAAATGGGTTGCCTTCCATCCTGGCTCCTCACATTGTTCAACGAGTGCCTCGTAACGGTTTTCTTTCCGCTCATGAGCGGCATATATATTGTCCTCGTGGGGCACAGTGAGCTCTACCAAGTGCCCCTCTTTGTCTTTTTCCTCCCATAACACAATGTCTGGGTTTTTCGTAGTTGGAATGGGGAAGAATCTCTCAAAGCCCTTTAAGTCAGCGGCTACCTCCCATGTGCCTCCGCTCTGGTCTTCCATAGCTTCGCTCGCTTTCTTTCTTTTGGTAACCTTGCTTCCTTGCGGAACGAACGCAATCTTGGTGGGCCTATGCTTCTGTATTTTGGGGGCATATTTTCTTTCTTCCACCTGTTTTGTCGCCGTTGTCGTGAGCACTTTCAGCACCTCATTGTGCCTCCAGGTGTATATGTTAAGAGCCAGATTTGCAGTTTGACAAAATTAAATTTTAAATTAAAAAAAGAAACCAGAACGGGGAGAGGGAGGGAAGGGAGTACGATGACGTCGACCTTTGCCTAGTAAAGTCAGCCTACAGATTTACGTCACCAAAGC